TTAGATACAAAGCTCTGGTGGCATAGTGCCTAAGGCACTTGACTGCTAACAAGATGGCTGGCGGTTCAAACCACCAGCCACTCCCTGGAAGGATTGGGCAATCTATTTCCTTAAAAATTTACCTCCTCAGAAACCCAAGGAGGGGTCACTATGAGTCGAATCGACTCGACGGCAGTGAGTTAGGTAGGTAGTGTGCCATTTTATGTAAGCGACTTGGTCATCAGTGTATTTGATACCCATGGGGGTGCTGAAACCAATCCTCGATAGACTGAGGGGCAACTGTATTCATCACATTATGTAGGAAAGGAGTCATTGTGTAATAGATGTTACAAGGGAACAGATTCACGTGGAAACATTTTAATTTGGTGTCCCAGAGTGACTACTTCCCTCATTAACCACAGAGAACAGTAAAGATTAAAGTGGTGTATTACGAATATTTGGGATAGGATGGAAAAAAAAAAGTCTTAAACATTTTACTCGGCTTCTTCAATTGCTGAAATGCCTTCTGTCTATAAAGCATGTCATCAGCTGTAGGGGACACAGATAATTACCATCACTGCCTTCAGGGAGCTTGCTGTTCAATAAGAACAGGCAAATCAGCAAATACAAAGATTCAGCCTAGGAAAACCTGTGGGGCAGCTCCACTGTCATATAAGGGTTGCTATAACTTGTAATCTATTTGAGGGTACAGAAACAACAATACTAAATGTGAATAATTACAGAGTATACAATCATTCAGGCTCTATTTGTTGAATGATTGTTCTGGTGTCCTGTTACTTAGGAAAACATCTATAAATTGAGGCAGAACTTGTTTTGGTTGAAGGAGGAAAGCCCTGAGTAATGTTCAGTATAAGTAAAATGGATGGGTGCTAACACTAGAGTAGAAGTCAGCAAACCCTTCTGTAGTAGGCTGGGTTCTCTAGAGAAGCAAAACCAGTAAAGCATAGAGAGAGAGAGAGAGAAAGAGAAATTTATCTTAGGAAAATGGCTCACACACTTACAGAAGCTGGCAAGTCCCAACTTCTTGGATCAGACATCAAGCTGGAGGCTTTGCCCAACTCATGCAGTTGCAGGGGCTGATGCGCTCAAGGTTGGCAGGCAGTATACTGGCTGTTGACTCCAACGAATGACAAATCCAAGATCTCCAGGCTGAATGGTGGATTGTTCGCTCATGGACAGTTGTAGGCAGCACAACAGAATCCCGATCCACAGAAGAGTGTCTCTTTTCCCAAGATGTCCATAAATATACTGGGAGCAGGCCATAACCCTAGGGAAACTCTCAGCGGATTGGCTGCTCAAAACATATACATCCAATCCTATCATGGGAATAACGCACATCACAATTGCTTAATTGTGCTCCAGCCAAGTTGACACACGGCTCCATCTATCACACCTTGTAAAGGGGCAGATAATAAACATGGCCATGAGGTCTCTGGTGGCAACCATAATACTCAGCTCTGCTGTTATAATGCAAAAACAGCCATAACAAAATATAAACAAGGGAGTGGGCTGTATTCCCACAAAATCTTATTTATGGACATGGAAATTTAAATTCCATAAAATTTTTGTGTGTCACAAAATACTGTTCATTCAATATATTCCTCCTTAACCATTTTTAAATAATTGGTTTACAGGCTACATATGGAAACCTAAGGAGGGGTTGCTATGAGATCCAACTCGACAGCAGTGAGTTTTATTTAGTTACACTAGGAAAAGTGCTTCTTGGTAAAAGATACGACCTTAAGTCTGGCTTTCAAGTTTTTTTTTGTGTGTGTGTGCCCTATTTATGAAAAAGAAGATCTTATTTAGGCATTAGTTCCTGTTGAGTAGTTCAAGGTGGTCTGAAACCTCGTTATTTTCTCCCCTACTCCCTCAGTAAACAAAACTGAATCATTTCTAGTGCCAGTTTTCATACTAAGCAGCTTACATGGAGTATTGCACTTGAAGATGTCATCTTATCTAGTGCTACTATAACAAGTGCCACAATTAGATGGCTTTAACAAACATTTATTTTCTCACAGTATAGGAGGCTAGAAGTCTAAATTCAGGGCAGCAGCTCTAAAGGCTTTATCAGCTCTGGAGGAATGTTCTTTCCTGAGCCTCGACTCCTGGGTGATCATGTGGCTTGGCATCTCTTCCCCATCTCTGCTTAATGGCTTGCTTGTTTAGTCTTTTCTCTCAAAAGAGGCAGACTCAAGACACACCCTACTGTCACAGGTGAGTTGTGAGGAGGCAGAGGCCTAGGTGCCTTCAAAATTTGGCTCCACTGTAACCCACCACTGTGGCTGAGAAAGTCATTAAAGTCCATTAACCAAAACCAAATGAAACTCACTGCCATCAAGTCAGCCCTGACTCAGCGACCCCTCCTTGGGCTTCTGAGCTGGTGTCCCTATGGAAGTGGATTGCCCCATCTTCTTTCCAAGGAGTAGCTGGTGGGTTTGAACTGCCAGCTTTCTGGTTAGCAGTCAAGTCCCTTAAGCACTACATCACTAGAGCTCCTTTTACATGGACTTTAATAACTGCTTCACAAGAGGTGCTTAAGACTGCCCTCATTCTTTAGGGTCTACCATGTGGAAATCACCAAGCTGCCAAAGCCTTAGGTAAGTACCAAGCTCATCTTTGTGTGTTTGCATTCAACTGTGATGAGACTATGTTAAGTTAGTAGAGGCCCTTTGTGCTGAACACCAAATCAACGTGATTAAGGCTGATGACAAGAAAACTAGGAGAGTGGATAGGCCTTTTTGCAAAATTGACATAGGGAAAACCTCGTAAAGTGGTTGGTTGCAGTTGTATGATTTGTAAGGACTATGGCAAAGAATCTCAGGCCAAGGATGTCATTGAAGAATATTTCAAATGCAAGAAATCAACAACAAAAAAAAACTTGGCTGAAGGAGGGAGGACATAATCTACACTTAACTGCCTCATTAACATAACAAAGACAACCCATCCCAAATGAAAGAACTACAGGCATAGAGGTTAGGATTTACAACACATTTTGGGGGGGGGGACATAATATATATATATATTACATATTTTTATATTTTTTTATTGTTAAGCTAACAAATATTTATAAAAAATAAACCAGCAACTTGCTGACATTTGAGCTTTTTTGTTGTCCTATGTCACTAAATTAAGCCCTTGATTTTTCACATATAATGTGTGTGTGTGTGTGTGTGTGTGTGTATATATATATATATACATTTTGTTGTGAGAATTCATCCATAGCAGAACAGGAACTCTACAGTTTTTATATGTACATTTACATGCAATTTAGTGACATTAATCACATTCTTCAAGCTGTGCAACCATTCTTGTCCTCCTGTCCTGTTTGTCCCCCAGTTATATAAACTCACTGCCCTCTAAGTTTCCTACCTCATCCTTTGAGTTGCTATCGTCAGTTAGATCCCATATAGGTAAAAACTTTAAAAGAGCAATGCTTACGGCAGATCTTGACTATTAAGCTGATATATTGTTTGGTTTTAAGAGGACTTCAGGGAATATTTTTTACTCAACAGGTTAAGATTATCTCTGGGCAGTAGTTCTAGTAGTTTATCCAGCCCCTATATCTCCAGAAATACGGATTCCATGAGAATTTTAAATTCTATTCTGTATTTCCCCTACATTTGATCAGGATTCTTATATAGAATCTTTGCTCAACATGTTCAGTGATAGTAACTAGCCGCTGTCCAGTTCTGCTCTCACTGCAAAACAGCAGGTGTTGATGGAGCCAACTGGTTACACATTCAGTATCCTGCTCCTATTCCTCTCTTGCTCTAGGAGAAAAGTGACTGATTTTTGTGCCTTGGATGGAGTCTTTATTTCTTGACACATGACTCCTTGCCTAAGAACTCAGAACTCCCCTCATGTTCAGCAATTGTTTTCAGTTTATATTGAGTCTAAAGCCTATGTGATTAGAGACTAAACTTCCCAGTGCAGCAGTGTCTTTGCCAATGGACTTAATGGTAATGGCTTTTAATGGTTAGTGTGCTAAAGGATAGGATATGCCAGGTACATAAAAAGAAACTTTTTTTTTTTTTTTAATAACAGATGAGTAATAAGCTTACAAGAGTGTAAAATGTAAGGAAGCAAATGACACAATGATATGCCTTTATTTCCCTAGGGTTTCATATGAATTATTTCCTTTTGAATGAGACAAGTTTTTTAAAAAATTAGTGAATACAAATACACATTCTCCCAAAATAATGATATTCCAAAAATGTTACACAGTACACCCACTCTACTCCCAACAAAGAATTGTTGTGAAATTGCTGGAAAGGACGTCCCTACATTAGTAATAGATAATATTTACTCTGGGCATTCTGCTGGTATAACAACGCATGATATAATGTCATTAATACTACCTTTATATAATACTCTTTTTTAAAAAATAGCAACTAGGACTGTTATCACCACAACTAAAAACTTCCTCATAGAAGTGAACAAACAATTCAAGAATTAAAATTTTAGGAAACCCGTTTACTTCCTTTCAGTCTCTTTAAGTTTCAGTTTTATCTCTAAAGTAGATTTCTTTCTTTCACATACATGATAATTTAAGTTCATCTCTGGTTCACAAGTTTTTAATGTTAATTAAAAAATTCATAATAATGCCTTAAATTTAACATCATTTCTATATATTTTCAGAACTGCTAATTCAGTGCTATTACTAAGGCTTAATAATAAGTTCACTGATCCCATAGGATAGGAGCAAAGTCAGCAGCTATCACAATTTAAAAAGCTGAAATACATTTTTTATTGTTAAACAAGCTAACAAATTATTTATAAAAAATAAACTTCAGCAACTTGCTGACATTTGAGGAGCTTTTTTGTTGTCCTATGTCACTAAACTAAGCCCTTGATTTTTCACATTACAGAGGGAAAGAAAAAGTGTTAAGCATGTTGGTTGAAATAATTTTCTCCCCATTATGAATTCATTGTTGATCCTGTGCATAAAAAGCATGCTCCAAGCTATTCGGCCAGTCTTTGGTTCTGAGGGAGGTATTCTATGGACTGCTGCACTGAGAAGGCTTTGCCGTTGTCTTCCAGCACCTCTGTGTTATGTGGTCTTGCTGTGGAAGAAAAAGAAATATATACCTTGTTTTCAGTTTAAATACAGCCATTCAAGAGTTCAACTATTACATAAAACTTTTAAAAACCTGAATGCAGATTTCCTTAGCTGAACTCTGAGAAACAGTAATGATTTTTTTTTCACCAATCAGTCAGTACTCTGTTTCCAAAAACTCCTCAACTAGCTATACCAGACCATAAAGTGGCTTTCTTTGACTGGCCTACTAACTGATGAACATGTACCATTATTACTTACGAAGACCACGGACTGACAAGTTACAGCCCATGGCCAAATCTATCCTACCTCCTGCTTTAGTACACACAAAGTTAAGAGAAATATTTCATTATGTGAAAACTGTATAAAAGGTAAATTTCAATGTCTATACGTAAAGTTTTGCTAGAACATGGGGGAAAAATCCTTACCTGTATCTTAATGTCCACTAAATGTTTAAATGGACTACAACTGAAGTCCTACTCATAAAACAGGATAAACTATCAAAATCAACTGTGTTAAGAGACTTGTTCAAACACTGTAGCAAAAAGACAAAATAGAGGAGGGAAAATAAAGTGACCTCCCCATATTTTATCTTAGTGTTTGTTTGGAGACATGTTCAGCTATACATCTGCTGCTGTGTACAGGGATTATTAGTAAATGGGTTTACTATCAAAGATTCTACTAACTAGTTCCTAAAATTAAGGAGCACTGGTGGCATAGCAGGTAAAGCATTTGGTGGCTAACTAGAAGTTTGGCAGTACAAACCCACCAGCTGCTCCATGGGAAGAAGATGAGGCCATCCACTTCTGTAAAGATTTACAGCCTTGGAAACCCAACAGGTGTCACTAGGAGTCAGAATCAACTTGAAGGCAGTGGATTTGGTTTTGGATAAGTGCCTAAAATTATGATGCATTTCTTCAAATAATATCCTTGTATTTTAGTATGTTTTAAAAAAAAGAAAAAGTGTCAAGTTTAGTGTGACTCATGGTGACCCCATGCATTTCAGAGTAGAAATGCACCCATGAGGTCCTCAAGGTTGTGACCTTTTTTAGAAGCAGACTGCCAGGTCTTTATTCTAGAGAGCCTCTTGGTGGAATCAAACCACCAACCTTTTAGTTAGTAGTCAAGTCCTTAACCATTTGAACCACCCAGGGACTCCTATGTTGTATGTAAGATACTTATTTTCTCATTCAGGGCATCTAAAATCTAAAAGGCTACTGCTGGCTTTTAAGAAGAGTAGACCTTACCTTTTAGTGCTTTCAATCTGATACATAGTTTTCTCTTAGTTGTACTATTTCTCTAACAATCAAAATTCTTTATTTTTTTTTATCTTTCTTGAGATACTTACTTATATTTACATGTGTGTAAAGTATCTGATAAATATAAAATATTTCAGACAGCAAACACATTAGAGGCAAATTCTCTGACTCTTCTTGCTCAGCACTCCTGATGCCCCTTTAACCTAAAGGAACTTTTTTTTAAAAATTTTTCATTGGGATTTGGGTGAGATTTTACAAAGTAGATTCCTTTTACATTCAGCATTTTCATATACATTTTGTTTTGTGACACTGATTACATTCCCCACAGTATAACAACTCTCTTACCACTTCTTCCCTGTGGTTACCAAAAGCAACTGATTTTAAGCACTATTCCAAGTAGGGCTTTCTCTCCCTCTCCCACAACCTCTTCCCTTACACTCTCCCATAGTGAAACAGGACAATGAAATCTTTTGATTTAAACTACCCTCTCTTGCTGTTAAACTGAACACAGAATGAAATATAAACATACTAACAAAAATTTTAAACAGAATGGGAGGGAAAACATTGAAAAAAAGTCACATTTAGTAAACATGTATAACCTATAACCATATTAAGCTTTCTCTGTATTTTCTCCATACCTTTGTATTTAAAACTTGAGATTTAGTCTCAGCTTCACAGATTTGTGCATCACTTTCTTTGCAGTAACTTTCTGCCCCAACTGTATCCATAATATTGCTTCCGTAGTGCTGTGTATTATAGCCACTATCCATCTGACAGGAAGGAGAAGGAGAAAAACAAAATCACCTAAGGACAGGATTTACAAACTCACTAATTAGTGATCCACAAAATTTATTTTGAGGAAAATTAAATATTTAAGTTAATCATTCCGTACAACAGAATACTATGACTTAGTACAACTCAATAATACAATGTAATAATGTTGATCATATTGCAGGAAATTTAAACTATATAAACATAAAAGGTAGTTATACACAGAATTGATTTTTCTTCAAAGTAGTCACTTTACTATATATATTCCTTCCAATGAAATATGTCTTGTAATTGCCTTTATAATCAGTAAATAAGCCACTAAGCCCATGCTTTCCTGTTACTTGTCATACCCTATAGAGAAAAATAAGGGTTACAATCAACTTCACCTTCCAACTCATTTACCAAGTTTGTCTCTAAATGCACTGGCTACACCTTTAAATAAAATTTGTCTACAAGGAATGCTATTGTTAGCTACAACTGAGTCAATTCCGATTCATGGTTACCCAAGCATTCAAAATAATATGTTTTTTTTAAAAACTGGGTTAGGTTATAATCACACTCCATTGTTATAAGTATTGCAGCTTCATAATTCTACATATACTATAGTATACAGTACTATAGTATATAGTATAGTACAGTACCATAGGATATACTGGCTATAGATGTTATTGCAACTCTACATTAATTAAAATTGTAGGATTTTTAAGATACACTGTCCAGCACTAAGGAGAAGAGGAGGGGGAGATTATAGCAAACTGGTTTTGTTACATATACACATTTGAGTGCTTAAAGATGCCAACAACCTATTCCTTTACAGATAGGAAGCTAAGTCAAAAAGGTTAACTGTCACAATGTTGCACAGTAATGAGGTGACTCACTACATAACACCTTCTTTTCTGCAAATTAGAATCAGAGGGAAAGAGAAAAGATTATGCATTTTTGCCCCCTCACAATTATAGAAAACCCACTGCCAATGAGTCGATTCCAACTCATAGCGACCCCCACTGGGTTTCCCCATGACGAGACTGGCAATCAACTCCATGATGGGATCTACCACAAGCAGCTGAGTAGCTGCCTTTGGGTATGTGGTCTGCTTCCTGTATATAAGGAGAAGCTTTGAGAATGGTCCCTAGCCTTTGGCATGCTTGGACCCTGCATGTAGCCGTGTCGTTGCTCAGCAGCCTGCTATGCTCTGCGACCTTGAGACTTACAGTCAACTTAAGTTAACGGCTTGCCATGTGGATTGGTCACATCGGGACCGTGCCTTTTGACTTGTCAACCTTGGGACTTCTCAGCCTCAGCAGCCAACAGCTGTCTGAGTGAAGAAATACCACTAGCTCCAGTGGGCCAGGAGCAGGAGGCAGAGCTGGACCCCAAGGTTGAGGGGCTTACATCCAGCCCCTAGAGCTTGGCACTTTGAACTTGGACTTAAAGCCTCGAAATTGTAAGAATAAACTCCTGTTTGTTAAGGCCATCCCATTTGTGGTGTATTCCTGTCAGAGCGGCACTAGGTAACCAGAATGCTCTCCTTCATCTCTGATAGGTCCTTCTTGGTCTCCCCTTTAAGAGCTCTCTGCTTTCTTTATTGACCTACTCAATTTTTCCTCAGGGTTCTAAACCTTGGCCCACTGCTTTTCTCACTCTATCCAGTCCCTCTGTTTAAACTGATTGATATGTTCATTCTGCTTTCATTACACAAATAGTTAATAAGTAGGTGTTATGGACCAGGCTTTATGATAGGGGATAAAAACACTCACAACTGCCAGATTAGTGGTGCACAAAGTCTGGTTGGAGCAAATGCAAAATATCATGAAATTATGAAAGCATATAATGAGATCTGGCCTGGCTAGGGTAATCAAGAAGGCTTCCTGAGGATGAGACCATTAAGTTGTGAACTAAAGAATAAATATGAGTTGACTAGGTAAATAAGGATAGGAAAGAATGTGCAAAAGCCCTTTAATAGGAGGGAACAGTTATTCAAAATTCTGGAAAGTCAGTGAGACTGAAACAAAAAGAATGAGGTGAAATAAGATGAAGCTGGACAGTAAGGCAAAGGCCAGACCATGCAAGGCCTTGCCACCCACATTATAGATTTTTTTAAATACCAAAAGCATATGTGAAGCCAATCTATGATGATATTGCAAACATAAAGTGAGGGAAGGATGTTTAAAAAAAAAAAAAATTCAGGAACAAAAGAACATATTTAGAAATTAAAAGTAAGATGCAGAAATAAAACACCTGATAGGTTGTTAGAGAAGCCTGAAGAAATCATAATTTAGAAGAAAAAGCAGATTAAAAAAATAAAATAAATAAACTGGAAACTCAAAAGGAGTTAGAATACTGAAAATGATAGGAGAAAAAGCTAAGATATTCAAGAAAAGATCTAAGAAGTGAAGTTTCTACACTGTGAGAGTCCTCCAAATGTTTAGTACAATGAATGAAAATAAACCCAAAGAACATCACTGGAATTCCAGAGCGGTGTGGAGAAAGAAAAGATTATATATACTTCCAGAGAAAAGGAAAAAAAAGAGATAATTTATAAAAAAATAAGTATTAAATGCTTTCAGATCTCTCACCAGTGATCTTGAAATAGAATTAATGAAAGGAATGCCTTCAAACGCTGAAGGATAATATTTCCAAACTCTCAATGTGAAGGAAGAATGAATACATGATTAAACATGCAACATCTTGAAACATGTACTCTTCTTCAGAAAGCTACTAGAAATCCAGGAAAGAAAAGACTGGGATCCAGAGAACAGGAGCTCTAATCCAGGAGAGAGGCTAAAGGAAATCTTCAGGGTGATGACAAAGGGATGTCCCAGGATCACAGCTGTGCACCACGAATGGAGGCCAAACAATTTGTAACAAAGCAAATCAGAAGGCTCTGGGAAAAAGCTACCTATGCAGTAGGAAAATAAGACAATGTATGAAAATGTTTTAAAATTACAAAATGCCCTAAAAGACATTATGATATGGCCCAAAGGATACAATTAAGACTAATTTTAATTAGTCACAGTCAAAACTATGTTTTAGTTCAATACAAAGGAGAGGTTTCCGATGGTAAGAAAAGTCCCAATATAGAATAGAATACCTGCAGGTATTCAAGCACAGACTGGATGACAAACTATCTGAAACTATAATAATAGAAGAATGATGTAGGTTTCCAATGGTTAGCTGGATTAGATGATTATCAACAAGTATCAACTAAATATTTTTATAATTCCTCTGTCAAAACAAGAGGACAAAAGAAAAAGGAAGACAGAAAAAAGGTTGACGATATTTTTACTATATGTACTTTTTCCACTTATGAACAAACTTTAAAAGGTAAAATATATGCAAAGGTGATTCTACTGTAATCTATTCTGAAAAGGACCCTAGTAGTCAGGATAGAAATTCAGGCATAAAAATATGAACAAAAGTTAATGCTTAGTTTTGGGTCATTTAGAATCCTTCCAGGCATTGTAGACAGACAAAAACTGATAGCATTTACACCCAAGAGACTTGAAAGCAGCAACATGGACACATGGTCACCAACATTCATTGTAGCACTATTCACAATAGCCAAAAGGTAGAGATGATATAAGTATACATACACACACACACAATGGAATACTATTTAGCCATGAAGAGAAATGAAATCCTAATCCATGCTACAACACAGAAGAACCTCAAAAATCGTATGCTCAGTGAAATACATCAATCAAAAAAGGACAAATACTGTATGATCTCACTTATATGAAATAACAAGAACAGGCAAGTATATAGAGGACAAAGTTTATTAGTGGTTACCGGGGAAAGAGAGAGGAAAGAAAGGGAAGCCATTGTTTAGGAAGCAGTGTTTATTTGTTTATGATGATAGGAAATTTGGCAATGATTATGGATAGTGGTCGTACAACCTAGTTAATGTAACTGATACCCCTAAATCGTGTACCTGAAAAATGCTAAACTGGTAAATGTGCTATACATATTTTTACAACAATTTAAAAAAATTAAAAAGACAGCACTAAAGCATTATATAGTAAGAACTGCCTCCTCAGAATAGAGCTGACCTTAATCGTGTGGATAGAGTAAAGCTTACAGGACCTCCATTTGCAGATGCGGCATGACTCACGATGAGAAGAAACAACTGCAAACATCCATTAATAATTGGAATATGGAATGTATGAAGTATTAATCTAGGAAAATTGAAAGTTGTCAAAAATGAAATTGAACACATAAAGATCGATATCCAAGGCACTAGTGAGCTCAAACAGACTGGTTTTGGCCACTTTGAATCAGACAATCATATGATCTACTATACTGGGAATGACAAATTGAAGAGGAATAATGTGGCATTCATCATCACAAAGAATGTATCAAGATCTATGCTAAAGTACAATGCTGTCAGTGATAGGATAATATCCACATGCCTAACAAGGGAGACCAGTTAATACTACTATTATTAAAATTTACGCACCAACCACCAAAGCCAAAGATGAGGAAATTGAAGATTTTTACCAACTTCTGCAGTCTGATATTGACCAAACATGCAATCAAGATGTGTTGATTATCTCTGGTGACTGGAATGTGAAAGTTGGAAACAAAGAAGAATCACCAGTAGTTGGCAAATATAGCCTTGGTGACAGAAGTAACGCTGGGGATCACATGATAGAATTTTGCAAGACCAATGACGTATTCATTGCAAATACCTTTTTTCAACAACACAAACAGTAGCTATACATGTGGATTTCACCAGATGGCATACACAGGAATCAGACTGACTACATTTGTGACAAGAGGTGATGGAGAAGCTCAGTATGTTCAGCCAAATCAAAGCCAGAAGCTGACTGTGGAACAGACCATCAACTGCTAATATGCAAGTTCAACGTGAAGTTGAAGACAATTAAAATAAGTCCACTACAGCCAAAATATAACCTTGATTACATCCTTCCTGAATTTGGAGACCATCTAAAGATAGATCTGATGCACTGAACACCAGTGACTGAAAATCAGAGAACTGTGGGATGGCATCAAGAACATCATCCATGAACAAAGCAAAAGGTCATTAAGAAGACAGAAAAGGAAGAAAAGACCAAAACAGATGTCAGAAGAGACTCTTGAAACTTGCCCTTGTACAGAGAGTAGCTAAAACAAATGGAAGAAATAACAAGATAAAAGAGCTGAACAGAAGATTTCAAAGAGGAACTCAAAAAGAAAAAGTCAATTATTATACGAAATGTGCAAAGACCTGGAGTCAGAAAACCAAAAGGGAAGAACATTCTTGGCATTTCTCAAGCTGAAAGAACTGAAGAGGAATTTCAAGCCTCAAGTTGCAATACTGAAAGATTCTATGGGCAAAATACTGAATGATGCAGGAAACATCGAAAGAAGATGGAAGGAATACGCAGAGTCATTGTACCAAAAAGAATTGGTCAATATTCATGTTCATCCATTTCAGGAAATAGCATATGAGCAAGAACCAATGGCATCAAAGGAAGAAGTCAAAGCTGCACTGAGGGAATTGGCGAAAACCAAGGCTCAAGAAATTGACGTAATACCCACTGAGATGTTTCAACAAATGAAAGCTGTGCTGGAGGCACTCACTTGGCTATACCAAGATTTGGAAGACACCTACTTGGCCAGCTGACTGGAAGATATCCATATTTGTACCCATTCCAAAGAAAGGTGATCCCACAGAATGTGGAAGTTATTGAACAATATCATTAACATCACAAGCAAGTAAAATCTTGTTGTTGTTGTTGTTATGTGCCATCAAGTCGGCCCCAACTCACAGTGACTCCTCCCTGGGTTTCCAAGGCAGTATCACTACGGAAGTAGATTACCCAATCTTCCTTCCGAGGACTGGCTGGTAGGTCTGAACCACCAGCCTTCTGGTTAGCAGTCAAGTGCCTTAGGCACTAAGCTACCAGTAAAATCTTAAAAATGGCTGCAGCAGTATACTGACAGAGAACTTCCAGAAATGCAAGCTGGATTCAGAAGAGGACATGTAATGAGGGATCACTGCTGATGTCAGATGGATCTTGGCTGAAAGCAAATACCAGAAAGATGTTTACTTATGTTTTACTGACTATGCAAAAGCATTTGATGGTGTGGATCATAACAAATTATGGATAAAATTGAGAAGAATGGGAATCCCAGAACACTTAATTGTACTCATAAGGAACCTGTACATAGACCAAGAGGCTGTCATTCAAACAGAACAAGAGGATACTGCATGGTTTAAAATCATGAAGGGAGAGAGTCAGGGTTGTATCCTTTCACCATACTTATTCAACCTGTATGCTGAACAAATAATCTGAGAAACTGGACCATATGAAGAACATGGCATCAGGATCAGAGGAAGACTCATTAACAGCCTGGGATATAATGACAACACAACTTTGCTTGCTGAAAGTGAGGATGACTTGAAGTACTTACTGATGAAGACTGAAGGCTACAGTCTGCAGTATGGATTGCACCTCAATATAAACAAAACAAAAATCCTCACCACCGGAGCACAATAAGCAGCATCACGATAAATGGAGAAAAGACTGAAGTTGTCAAAGACTTCATATTACTTGGATCCACAATCAACACCAATGGAAGCAGCAGTCAAGACATCTGAAGACATACTGCATTGGGCAAATCTGCTGCAAAAGACCTCTTTCAAGTGCTAAAGAGCAAAGATGTCTCCTTGAAGACTAAGGTGCACCTAACCCAAGCCATGATATTTTCAATCACCTCATATGCATGTGAGAGCTGGACAACGAATAAGAAAGACTGAAGAAGAGTTGATAATTTTGAGTTGTGGTGTTGGTGAAGAATACTGAAAGTACCATGGACTGCCAGAAGAACTAACAAATCTATCCTGGTAGAAATGCAGCCAGAATGCTCCCTGGAAGCAAGAATGGCCAGACTTCATCTCACCTACTTTGGTCATGTTGTCAGAAGTGCCCATTCTCTGGAGAAGGATATCATGCTTGGTAAAGTGTAGGGTCAATGAAAAAGGGGAAGAACCTCAACAAGGTGGATTGACACACTGGCTGCAATGATGGGTTCAGGTATAGCAAGGATCGTGAGGCTGGCACAGCACTACTGGGCAGTGTCTCATTCTGTTGTACATAAGGTCACTATGAGTCGGAGACGACTCGACGGCACCTAACAACCACATAACAACAAAGCGTTACAAGGAGCTCTGGTGGCATAGTGGATAAGGCACTTCGCTGCTACCCTAACCAGAAGGTCAGTGGTTCAAATCTACCAGCTGCTCTGTGGAGGGAACATGGGGCAATCCTACTTTCATAAAGATTTACAGCCTTGAAAAGCCAATGGGGGTCACTATGAGTTGGAATCCACTCAATGACAGTAAGGTTTTTTTTTTTTTGAGTAAAGTATTATAGGGTTATAGTGAGAATTAAATTCATATACATACACACACACACATATATGTACATAAGTGTGTGTGTATATATAGAGAAATATAGATAGAAAGACCTCCACACCTATTCCTCGCTTACTGACTATCTTGTTATCTGACATTTCACATTTATAACACCAGTGAAATATCCATTATCTGGCTACTTTGCATTATAATGATGTATATCTGGCAGTACCAAACACTAAGGTGCAAGATGAGAGTAACTCAATAGTGATAGTTAAGATTATGTGTCAACTTGCGCTGGGCCATGATTCTTAATGGCTTGGCAGTTATGCAATGATGGAGTTTGGCAGTTATGTAATGATGTGGTCATCCTCCATTTTCACATAGTGTAGATTTTCTTATAACAATCTGGTCTTTGTAACCTAACCATGTCAGTAAGTAAGAAGTGTGTTTATATATGTCCATATGTGTGTGTGTGTCTGTGTGTGTGTATGTATATATATACATATATACAAAATATGTGTATATAAATACATACATGCAAATGATGGTAGCTCCGACATTGCAATCTGATGTATAACAGAATAAAATGTTACCCTCCTCCCAAAAAACCTCACTGCCATTGAGTCAATTCTGACTCACAGCAACCCTCATCAGGTTTCTGAGGCTGTAAATCTTTACAGAAATAGATTGCTCCATCTTCCGTCCATGGAGCAGCTGGTGGGTTCGAACGACCAACATTCTGGTTAGCAAGCAAATGCCTTAGGCACTTCACCACCAGAGTGTCTGACATATTGAAATACTATATAAGTATTAGCTATTATTATGAGCAAATATGAAGTTAGGTTAAAGAGCATGGACTCTAAAACCAGACTGCCAGGATTTAAACCCTGGCTATTATATGAAGTATTAAGAATAGTTCCTGGCATATAGTAGGGGGCATGTTAAGTGTTAGATATTGTTACTATGAAATAGCATGTAATAATTGCCCTTCTGACTATTTTAAAGTTCTTTCACAATCAAAGAATATTACAATTAATGGAACAATTGTCTCTGAAAGTGCTGGTTATGAAGTATATCTGCCAAATGAATCAGGTTTTCCTGTTGCCAGATATTGCAAAAGTAGAAACGTAGGACTACATGAAAAATGTCAGCTATCTAACCGCATTATCTTTCAAGAAAATTATTAAAAAATATATACATAAAAGTGTTCTAAACTGTGTTTTTTCTTTTCCAATCATATACTAGAAAAAACAGAAATACAAATACCATACCACAAATTGCATTCCTTTGGTACTAGATCCATATGAAAACAAGCTGAATCCTGACAGGCTGCCTCACTCTAGCAGTCTACGAAAACAAAGCCACTTGATTTTCTCTCTGCTCTCACCTTTTCCTACTCTGATTACCTATCAATTAATGTGAATATTAAACATGACCTAATAGGTTCAAATATAACTAGGGGTCATTTGGTGTTGGTATTTTTAAAAATTATTATGTAATTCTACAGTCTTCACGTGAAAACCATTTCTTTCTTGCTACAACCTTAGGAAGAAAAGGATAAAGAACACAAAGAGAGTTAAGAAAAACACTGGAATATTAAAATCCCTTACCTGAATGTTACTGTTTTCACAAGGAATGACACTGCTTTCTGCAAGAGGCAACATGCACATATGAGAGTTTTCAATACTGAAGGCAATTCCACTCATAAAATCAGTCATGGGTAGATTCCCATTATCAACTGCCTCCTTTAAGTGGAAAGTGTTGTCATCTGCTATCTCTACAGGATCAACCATATCCACAGTGTTATTCTCCTTCTCACTTTCAACATCCTGTAACAGTGCTAATTCTTTCTCAGAAGCACTGGACTGATTTTGTGTAATAGACATGGCAGTCACAACTAAATGTGTGCCATGTGAAAAAGCATCATTATTCAATTGCCGTAGTTGTACCCCAGCAGTATCCATGGCTGGTAATGAGACATTTGTGGGAGGAGCATTCTCTTTATCTTCATCTTCACTGTGAGCCTCAAGAGTAAAAGGTATCCGAATCAGTGAAGTCCGATACTGAGCACCACCTCTACACATCTCCAGTCTCATCGGAGACCAATTTTTAATTGATGAGCAGCCATCTATATACGGACTTCCGATATGTGTATTAGTGATTCCATTAGAGTTTGTTCCAGATGAAGCATCAGGAGAATGAAAAGCAAGCTTCCTTTGCTCTAAAAGATTGGGAGTGAAAAATAAGATCTTAAAAACATGACAATGGGAAAGTCATGTTACTAAACAGCAACCATGTTTCATGTCAGTAAAACCAGGTTTCTATAACATTTCTATTGTTTACTGTACTAAAATTTGGTGTTAGGAACAACAGCACAATAAAGAATGTGTCTCAATAAGCAGGATAAAGTTCTTGCATTTTCCTCTTTTAACTTTAAGTATTTTACTCACAGAGAATTATTTCCTTATAAGTGTAAAGATATTGTTTAAAAGAAGATACTAGGTAAATCTGAAAGCTACAACTTTAACAGCGGGATCTGGTAAATGAAATCTATTTGTATGTTAACATAAAATAGCAACAATTTAAAGGCAAATAAAAAATTGGAAATAGTATTTGCAACAGTAAAGAGCTTAACAATGATAGATAACTAATTTTTATAGCTTAATTAAGTTTTTAAGAAATGGACAAAAGCAGTAATGATCCTCCCAATGGTAAATAAACATGAAAAGTGTTCAGCCTCACAAATAAAAAAAAATATAGAAATTAAAGCAACAAGAGACCATTTGTTTAACAAAAACATGAAGTCAAAACTAACAGTCTCTACCAAAAAAAAAATGGCCAGGAAACAATAGGAAATAGTTTGACACCATTAATGATCAAAGTAAAAAATTGAAATAGTTAAGAGGCCTTTTTGTAATGTACTAAACTAACAATATAAAGAATGATGAAATTTCAATTGGTACAATCTTTTTAAAAGGAAATTTGGCAAAATTCATCAAAAGTCTTAAAAATATTCACCTTTTTGACTAAATAACTCCATTTCTAAGAAAATAACCTAAGGATATAAATGTGTACAATACAATGCATATTCAAGGATAATCATTAGTTTTATGACAAAAAGTAAAAAAAAAAATTTAAATGTTTTATCCATGGTTGAAAACAAATGAGCCATCCATGAAATGTAGTATTATATTGCTGTTGTTGTTGTTGTTATGTGCCGTCGAGTCGGCCCCAACTCATAGCGACCCCTCCTTGGGTTTCCGAGGCGGTATCACTACGGAAGTAGATTGCCCAACCTTCCTTCCGAGGAGTGGCTGGTGGGTTTGAACCGCCAACCTTCTGGTTAGCAGTCAGATGCCTTAGACACTGTGCTACCAGAGCTCCTATAGTATTATATAGCAATTCAAAATCATGTTTTGAGACAACAACTAAATGACTAGGGAAATGCTCATAATACTCATGATGATTTGTAAAAAAAAAAAAAGCAGAATACAAAATTACGTATGTGTGTGTGTGTACAGGTATCTATATATAATCTCCATATATATGCATAAAAGAATGACTAGAAAAATATAATTTTCAATTTTCTAATTGTTTAAATAGGTATTTTTATTGTGAAGTTTTCAAAAAGTGTTATAATTTTTTGAAAGAGAAATTTACCTAGTACAAGGAGAAATATGTAAACTTATTTACTACATTAAAAAAATTACTCTAAGCAGGAGTGGCAATACTAATTTCTGATCAAATTGACTTTAAGACAAAAACCACCATA